GATGACATGTTTTAGATAATGAGGGGGTTATGGAAATGTGTACTATATAGTACTATATTTGGTACAGCTTCATATTGGGTAAACAACAAATAGTGCCTGAAATCTGAAATTTGGTATTAGGGTCGCTGTTTACGTATATCCTGGAAATTCGGACGTGATTTGTACGAAAAGTATTGGTATGGGGTGAAGGGATTGTGATACAATTCTGAAATATGATATTTAGATTACTGATGGTATCTGTGTTTGGGATTTGGCGGTTGGTTGGAAATGCGTCCTAAATTTGTATAAAATGTACAAAATTATACCAAAATTGGTATTGGGTGAAGGAATCCCTAAATTTTATATTGAAGTCTCTGTTGCTATCTGTAATTGAGATATGGAGGTGGTTTTGCATAATTGTTCGAAATGTACTAAATAGTACTAAATTTGGTACTGGGTAAAGGAATAGAGCTGAAATCTTAAAATTTGATATATATGTCACTGTTATAGTCTGGGGTTGAGAGAAGGAGCTGTTTTTGAATTTGCGTACTATAATTGTACCAAATGGTACTAAATTTGGTAATGGGAACAAGTAAAAAAGCTGTAAGTTCGGTCGGGCCGAACTTTTAATACCCTCCACCATTCGGCACAAATTTGGCAATTTCCAAAAAAAAAAAATAATAAAATCTTTTAAAAACTCTGTTAAAATCTTAAAAATACTGAATACGACGTAGACCTGCATATGCAACTTTTGTCATAAGTTATAACAATATTTAAATGAGAAACATGAAGAAAAATCTGTTTATAATGTAGCTAACATCATCAAAATACCCAATATAGGGGGTACCGTTATATGGGGGCTATACGATGACGTGGACCTGCACAGACAATTATCTTATGCGAAATTTGAAACAAGCCCGGTAAATAATGTCGCTAAAATCATCAAAATACCGAATATCGGGGGTACGGTATATGGGGGCTATACGAAGACGTGGACTTACATGGCCCATTATTTGTATTATGGTGCAGTAGCTATTACGAACTTGAAATGCCAAATTTGGAACGATTCCGTTAAATAATGTCGCTAAAATCATCAAAATACCGAATATCGGGGGGTACCGTTATATGGGGGCTATATGAAGACGTGGACCTACATGGCTCATTTTTTGACTTAGGATGTAGTATCCATTACGAACTTCAAATACCAAATTTGAAACGATTCCGGTAAATAATGTCGCTTAAATCATCAAAATACCGAATATCGGGGTACCGTTATATGGGGGCTATACGAAGACGTAGACCTGCACAGATAATTTTCTGTCTTAGGCTGTAGTATCCATTACGAACTTCAAATGCCAAATTTGAAACAATTCTGGTGGTTAATGTCGCTAAAATCATCCAAATACCGAATATCGGGAGGTACCGTTATATGGGGGCTATATGATAACTTGGACCTACATGGCCCATTTACGAACATAACCTGCCTACTGGCAAAATATACATGTGTGCAAAATTTTAGCCTTCTATCTCAATTTGTTCGAAAGATAGCGTGATTACAACAGACAGACGGACAGACAGACAGACAGACACACAGACAGACAGACGGACATGGCTAAATCGTCTTAGAATTTTACGCTGATCAAGAACATATATACTTTTTTGGGTCTGACATGAGTATTTCGAGGAGTTACAAACGGAATTACAAAATTAACTATGGAGGGTATCATAGTATGGTGGAGGGTATAAAAATTACTGGCATGAAATTTAATATTAACGTCACCGTTGGTATCTGAGGTTGAGATATGGAGATTGTTTTGAAAATGCCTACTTTAACTGTACGAAAAGAACTAAATGCCCCTAAATTTAGTATTGGGTCTTAGGATAGAGATTTGGGAATGCATAGTACGGATTCGAAATGTACTAAATAGTAAGAAATTTTCCGTTGAGGGAATGAATAGAGTTCAAATCCTGAATAAATTGTGCATTTTGAGTACTAACAAGGCCTAACACGAACACGAAAATTGATTTTATAATTTGGACAAGACTCTCGAAATAATTAAAAAGGTTTGCACTAAAAGATACCAAAGTGTCGATCACCTCAAGCAAGCGCTTGTCTGGGAATGGGCCAAAATACATCAGATCAACTTCCAGTCAGCGTGTGACGGTTTCATTGACCGTTTAAAGGCCATGATTCGTGCCAAAGGTGACCAATTCGAACAAATCTTAACTTATTTTAAATTTTTATGCTATATCCGACATTTTTTTGCTTTCATTGAAAAATTAAAAAAAAATAAATAAAAATTATGGCGCTTGACTTTGTTTCAGTTTTTTTTTTTATCTCACCCTGTATTATCAGTACTGTAAGTAAACGTGAGCCCATATTGATAACTTCTATATGTGGAGCTTTTGCCCTTGAATATTTGTTGAATTTTTCAGGTTTTATGAAGGACCCTAATGGCAAAATTTGGAGTTTTTGGAGTTTTCTGAATGAATATTGAATATTTATATATTTAATTCTACATGTAAGCAAAATAATTCTATTATCATAAATAATAATACAAATAAAATTATGCTTTACTTTTTTCTGTAAAGTTGGCCTCGTACATTTATGATTTCAAAAATAATACCACTTCAATTTCGTTTTGAATTGTGGCTTTTAAGCCAAAACACAATACAAATCCATGTAGATGTACTTCATTTTCAACTCTATTTAATCTTCATACCTATATTGTTTTTTTTTTCTTTTTTTTTTTTTTTTTTTGTTAAAAACTTGAATATATATAAACTTTTATTATGAATCCTTTCACATAATAAATATATGAATCTCAATCACTCTCCCTCTCCCGTCGGATAGATGAGTAAACGATTGTGCGGTTGTGTGTAATTTTTTTTTAGAATATACCATTGAAACAATTATCAGAATGAATGATTGAAATTTATATTGTATTTATATAAATAAATAGTACAATTATTTTGCATTCATGTATAAAGATTACAATAATAGCAAGACCGTATACGAAAAAACTACTCAGGTTTTTCAAAGATAGGGGAAAAGGTAACAGAGGTGCCTCGTAAAATATGGGAAATTACAAAAAAAATCATTCGAATTTCTCAACGTCAAGTGAACATTTAAATCTGACCCTTGAACAATACATTTTCGCAATCTGTTCAATTTGGTACCATTCCAAGATCCTAGGTATCTATAAATCTCTAAAAAAGTATTTAGGGAAATGGCACTGAGGAGGTATAAAATTTCCACAGTCTAAATAACAAAATAGTATTTTTATATCCTACACAGTATAGAGGGTATATTAAATTTGTCATTCCGTTTGTAACACCTCCAAATATACATTTTAGACCCCACAAGGTATATATATTCTTTATCAGCATAAAATTCTAGTCGATTTAGCGATGTCCTTCCGTCTATCCGTCTGTGGAAATAACTCTAGCTTCCGAACAAAATGTAGTAGGTTTATATAATTCTACTCAAATGTATATTTTGCCTGCAGGACTTTTGGTATTGAAAATGAACCATGTAGGTCCACGTTTTGATATAGCTCTCATATAATGGTACCTCTCTATATTCGGTATTTTGGTGATTTGAGCGACATTATCCACTGGAAATGTTTCGAATTTGTTATTTGGCATAAGACAAAAAATTGTCTATGCAGGTCCACGTCTTCGTATAGCCCCCATATAACGGCAATTCCCGATTTTCGGAATTTTGGTGATTTTAGCGACATTGTTAACAGGAATTGTTTCAAATTTAGTATTAGAAGTTCGTAATGGATACTTTGGCCTAAGACAGAAAATTGTCTGTGCAGGTCCACGTCTTCGTATAGACCCAATATATCAGTACCTCCGTATATTCGGTATTTTGACGAGTTTAGGTACAAAACCCACAGAAATTGTTTGAGATGTCGTATTTGAAGTTCGTAATGGATGCTACAGCCTGTGACAGAAAATTGTCTATGCAGGTCCAGGTCTTCGCACAGCTCCAATATAACGGTACCTACCTATATACGATATTTTGATGATTTTAGCCATATTATTCACCGTTTGTTTCAAGTTTCGAATTTAAATATGGTAATGCCTTATGACAAACAATGCCTATGCGTCGTATAGACCTCAAAATGAGGGCTATATTCGGTCATTTTAAAATTTTAAGAGAATTGTTTAAGGATTTTTATTTTTTTTAAATTTTCAAATTCGTTCCAAGTGGTGGAGGGTATTCAAAGTTCGGCCCTTCGAACTTACTGCTTTTTAAATTATTTTTTTTTAATTTGTTATTCTTTACAGAATTAATTTTTATCAATGACATATTCTCAGAGGCCAACCTGTTCCTCTATTTATTATTCTCTTGGATGTTTTTAAAAGTTTTGATTTTAACATAACATGGTATTTTATTAAATTTACTGAACTTTCATACAACAAAAGGCTTACTTGGTTTTGTATTCCATTCAGGACTTAATTGCTGCTTTCAAGTGTTGGGAATTTTTAAATATTTCATAAAACAAATGTCTAGCTTGAATATAGAGTCCTTTTTTCTTGCAGGTATGTACACAGTTCGTTTTTTGAATATTTATATTTTTTATTAAAGACAAAGCTAACAACTCAATAATAAAGAAATTATAGCCAAAATAAGGTAAAATAAAACGCGAAAAACTCAATACTAAACGGATAATGGCCAAAAAAAAAATGAAATGTACATTATTAAAAACGAAAATAATTAAGGAGTTATGGTCAAGATAACAAACTGAAATGTTTAACATTAAAACAGAAAGATTTAAAAAATCGCGAAAAATTCAATAATTAAGGAGTTATGGCCAAAATAAGAAAATGAAATGCGTAACATAAAAAAACGGAGATTAAAAACACACCCAAATACCCTAAAAACGCGAAAAACTCAATGCTAAATGAGTTATGGCCAATATAAAGAAAATTATTTTTTTAACTAAAAATTCGAAATTATATATATAGCCTGTACATAAAAATTGATAATAACAACTAAATAGACTTACCTGTCACGAGTTTTTTGAATTTTCTTGATTATTTTCGAATCTGCAGACTAACTTCAATTTGATCTTGATCAGCATCTTTTTCTCCTGTGTTAGAGTGGACGGACGCAGACCCCTGTCAATTTAACAAGATCCCGTTCCGAATTCAAGAGTTATCTGAAATGGATAGCGTTAGGTCAGAGATTTATTTCAGAAGAATGAACGATTATAATGGCTGGATATATATGGATATATGATATAATACTGTCCATCTCTAAAAAAAATTATTTAAAAATTATCAAATATATACGGGTTTTGGCCAAAACTAATACAAATATTTTCTTCAATGGATACAGAGATGTCTTGTCTTTGGTGACATATGGTGAAATTTGAATGAGAATATATGTGTCTTTGACGTGATTCTTCTAAAATGATGCTTTGCAGGAGAGTCTTGCATAAACTCATAAGCCGTACTTTATGACTTTAACCCTAAAATGAATATTTAAAATGTATATGCATTTCTGTCATATAGGTAAGATATAGACTCTTAAGAATTTTATGACGACTAATTTTGTATAATATTTGGTTATGACCATGTTTAAAGGGAGTTTTAAAATGTATTTTGAAAAATTCGAGTAAAAAAGAAAATAATCAACCTAAGTAATCCTCGTTTTGTTAGCAGTAATTTTGCCAATAGATGTATGCACTCAGCAATTGTTCGATTATTTAAATATATTTTGACTTCTGTTATGACTATTCAAAGTGTTGACCCAGTTAGAAGCACTTTCCGATGGAATGGACCTTAATAAATATGATATAAATATGGCGACGTGCCAGGTTTAAGCTATATTGGCTACTTCCTTCACTTTATATGAGACAAGTGATAATTTTTAGAAAATGTTAAAATGACCGAAATATTCCATTTTCGTACTTCATCTAATACAGATAAAAATATTGGTATTGGCAAAATTACAAGAAAATCGAACATTTATATGCAATTTTATACGAAATCATAAATTCCATATTCATCTCCGGCTTCTGGTCGACAGAAATATTTAGATATAACAATTAAAGTAAAAAAAAACGCTTACTTGTTTTGCAAGTTATGACAGATATAAGCAGTGGAAATTGTGACACTTTGTGGGTAAGGTACCAAAAGGGGCTGGCAGATATATATCATCTTCACAACAGAGCTCGTGCTAGGAAAAATGTTTTTATGTGTGACATTTGAATAGAGCTGGATGCTTATTTCGCTTTCTTTGAGTGTTTTTGTTTTTCAAAATCTTGAACTCTATGTAGGGGAGGTACCAACAAAAATGGTCCGATATCTATTATATGTATAACCAATCTTGTGTTGATGGAAATATTGAGATGTACCAAGTCTTGAATGTAATCGGATGATAATTTCGCTTTTTATAAGCTTTATGGATATTCAAAATTTTGAGCGTTTGTGGGGGAGGTACCAGAAGGAGTGGACCGATATATTCCATCTTCACAACAGACCTTTTGATAGTGGAAATAATGGGATGTGTGAAATATAAAGAGAACCTGATGCTTATTTCGGATTTTATAAACGTTTCGGTTAATCAAAACTTTAACCCATTGTGTGAGAGGTACCAGAAGGAATGATCCGATCTCTACCGTTTTTATAGCACGTCCTGTGTTGATAGAAATATTGAGTTGTGTCAAGTCAAAATGTAATCTGATGTTGATTTCGCGTTTTATGAGCTTAATGGATATTCCAAATTTCGACCTATTGTGGGGGTGGTACCAGAAGGAGTGGACCGATATTATCCATTTTTGCACCTGTCCTAAAACTGACGCAAATATTATGATTTGCAAAGTTGGAGCAAAATCGGATTATTGCTTCTCTTTCTGTGCAGAAAAAATATTTTTTTTTTTTTTTGAAAATTACGACCTTTTATGAGGGAGGTACCAGAAGGAGTGGACGATGTATTCCATCTTGGCACCAGACCTTGGGTTAATAAAATTTTTGGAATGTGTGAAATTTGAAAACAATCGGACTCTTACATCACATTTTATAAAAGTTGTAATTATTCAAAATTTTGACCCTTTGTGGGAGAGGTACTCGATGGAGTGGACCGATATTGTCCATTTTCGCACCTGACCTAGAACTTACGCAAATATTGGGATTTGCAAAGTTGGAGCAAAATCGTATTATCATTTCTCTTTCCGTGCAGAAAATATATTTTTGGAAAAATACGACCTTTTGTGGGGCAGGTACTAGAAAGAGTGTAAGGATAGGTCAAAACGTGCCTTAACGAAATATAAATTTTAGACCCTAGGTCTCTTTGAACAAAATCCGTTTCAGGACATTTGGTGTGGATTTCGGGGTATCTTTCCGTCCTTCTGTCTGGCTGGTGCGCACGATAAGGGATGGGGTCCGATTTGGTCTAGACTTGGTACCTCGTAATAGAATTATAAAACATAGATCGAGTTCGGACAAAAAATTTCATCATTTTCAAAGCAAATAATTTACTACACAGACAGAGAAAGGATAATCCGATTTTGCTCCAACTTAGCAAATCTTAATATTTGTATCAGAGCTATATATAAGGTGCTAAAATAGACAATATCGGGCCACTCCATCAAGTACCTCCCCCCACAAAGTGCCAAAATGTGATATAAAAGCTCGATTGTCTCCAAATTACACAAATCACAATATTTTTCTTTAATCCAAGGTCTGGTGTTAAGGTGGAATATATCGGTCCGCTGCTTCTGGTACCTCACCCAAAAAGGTCAAAAAAATATTTTTTTTCACAGAAAGAGAAATGATATATACCCTCTGTAGCCATATGTCTGAGGGTATACAAAAATATGGGAACGGGGGGAATTTGGAGCTCTTATTAGGTTGGCTAAGACGCTATACACCTACAATACATGGAGTCCAAGGAATCCTAGTCCGAATAGTTCAACAAATGTGCAAATGTGCCCACTCCATTAGGGTTATTTTTCGGTGTAAATTTTCAAAACGCCGATATACTTAACTTCCATAGCGCCGATATACTTACTTCTTTAAGACGCTTTTTTTAAGGACCACCACAGAGATACAACATGCGTTATAAGTGGCGGCAATTCTAATCGCATTAGCCACAATTTCTTGGAATAAAGGGTTGGCTCAAAAAAATAATGAAATTGGTATAATATTTGCTCCTCAGAGACTTTGGCTAATTACAAAGTCCTGATAATTTGCAAAAGGACAAAGTATTTCACACAGACCCTATTCTCTATGACAAAAATACGAAGCCCTATCAGACTGGACCACACGCACAAGCCCAGTACATCTCTTTAAAGGTTATCGCCAATTAAAAGAGTGGAGAAGCGCGTCATTAAAATAAAGAAAACAAATCCACCCTGGTCAATTTGTCAATTCAGCGCACCACACAGTCATTCATTGCCGAAAATTGCAATGTCTCGTAGATGCGGTGGCGATAACAAGTCTGGTTTTTAGTGCTCGCATACTCGGCAGCTTCATCGCTTCACAAAGCAAACTAACTGAGAGATCTTGCTTCTTTTTTTTTTTTGCATTTTTTAATCGATGGGAAGGGAAGAGGGAGAGGGATAACGCCCAACTTACCAACCACCCGGTTAGCCAAGCAGCACGCTCACTCATTTATGAAAATAAGTATGATAAAAATAATAATAACAATAACATACAAATAATAATCCACAATAAAACGGAGACGACAATATAACCGGCAATGACTACAACGCCAACGGCTCATTGAGAACCCTAGGAATTGCTTGAGAATTTTGCGATCAGTTAACTTAAAGACTTGCAACAATAAAGACGACGTGCGCGCGACTATGACGATAACGAGAAATTATATAGCTCTGCTACTGCTACTCGGTGCAAATTATTGCTGGGCAGATGACCTGCTGACCCCATCAGCGACATGGTCCTTTTCGTTGGGAAACATTAATTTATTTGACATTCCCAAATTCCCCAGCTTGGTTTTCGATGAGGGCAGTTCCAAGATCCAAAGACAACTTCATAGTTCCGTGAAATCGTTGCTGGGCGATGTTACCATTGATCCGAATATTATTGAGGATTCAATATTGAAAACGGTTGGTTGACAACGACGTGAATATGTTTGTGTGTGTGTGTGTGAATAAAGTGTTGGAAAATTATTTAAAGTGAATATTTTTTGCTCTTAATTTAGCCCGATTTGATAAGAAAATATGGTTATCCTTCGGAAGTGCATCATGCCATCACAGATGATGGCTATATTTTGGAATTACATCGCATTGCCAATCACGGGGCTATGCCAGTGCTTTTGACCCATGGCCTTTTGGATTCCTCGGCCACATGGGTTATGATGGGCCCAAATAAGGGATTGGGTGAGTAATCATCAGATAGAGTGTGGTACGAAAAAACAAAAAGAAAAAAATAAGTGAAAAAAGCAAGTGTAATTTAAAAAAATGACACAAAGGACTAAGTCCAAAAAAAAAATATTCCAAAAAATAAAACTATTTCCGGAAAGATACTAAAATTCCTTATTTATTCCTCTGATTTATTACCCAATATCCAATTTAAGGATATTTTGTTAAGAATTTTCTTTTTGAGTGAGATCAGACCTATGAGTAAACCATGTGTGGTACATAAAACGGAGTGTGATACGGAAAACAAAACCTCAAGCGAAACTAGCAAGTGTAATTTTATAAAGGGACACCAGGGACTAAGTTCGAAAAAAATCCAAAAAAATAACAACTTCCAAAAAGATTTCAAAATTCTTTTTTTTTACTCCTCTGATTCATTACCCAATATCCAATCCAAAGAAGTTCTGGATTCTTCGGCCAGAAGTTGTTGAGGCCCTTATATAGTTTTGACCATATACAAGTGGACCCCTATAGTTTCGAAACATTTAGGATAGAGCCTTAACATTTTGATAGAGATCATTAAATTACATCCAGAATCATTGGAATAGAAATGGGTCATATTGGGCCACTATTGGAACAGCTTCCTTGTAAGGATATCTGATTTCAAGTAATTTTTAGGTTTTCGCCATGTTTTCCATCTCTCAGCAAACAATGAAAAAACTACGCCTTACCTATCACTACATAAGAATATTATACTACTATGTACCTTCTATCTATACAATATCGGATAAAAGCAAAGTTTCAGCTCTTTTCGACATCGTTCGATAACAATCTCG